GTGTAGGGGCTGGAGGAGGTGACAGAGATAGGGAGGGGAAGTAGGGGCTGGAGAGGGTGACAGAGATAGGGAGCGGGTGTAGGGGCTGGAGGGGTCGACAGAGATAGAGAGGGGGTGTAGGGGGCAGGAGGAGGTGACAGAGATAGGGAGGGGAAGAAGGGGCTGGAGGAGGTGACAGTGATAGGGAGGGGATGTAGGGGGCTGGAGGAGGTGACAGAGATGGGGAGAAGGTGTAGGGGCTGGAGGAGGTGACAGATAGGGAAGGGAAGTTGGGGCTGGTGGAGGTGACAGAGATAGGGAGGAGGTGTAGGGGGCTGGAGGAGGTGACAGAGATAGGGAGGGGAAGTAGGGGCTGGTGGAGGTGACAGAGATAGGGAGGAGGTGTAGGGGGCAGGAGGGGGTGACAGAGATAGGGAGGGGGTATAGGGGCCGGAATGGGTCACAGAGATAGGGAGGGGGTGTAGGGGCTGCAGGAGATGACAGAGATCGGGAGGGAGTGTAGGGGCAGGTTACAATGAGCCTGTGTAAGTTGAGAGTGCAGGGTGTGATGGGTGAATGGAACTCGGTTTGAGTACAATCACAGGTGAAGCTGAGTTTTGGACAATACCAGGTTTTTTTTCATAGAATTCATAGAGTATTGAAAGAATCCCTACAGTGTGGAAACAGGCCATTCGGCCCAACAAGTCCACACCGCCCTTCCGAAGAACATCCCACCCAGACCCATCTCCTACCCACTCCCTGTAACCCTGCATTTCCCATGTCTAATCCATTTAACTTACACACCCCCTGAACACAGGACAATTTAGCATGGCCAATCCACCTAACGTGCACATCTTTGGACTGTGGGAGGAAACCGGAGGACACCCACGCAGACACGGGGAGAATGTGCAAACTCCACACAGATAGTTGCTCGAGAGTGTAATCAAACCCAGGTCCCTGGCGCTGTGAAGGCAGCAGGTTTATGAAGGGTAGAACCCAAGGCAGGTCAGGAAAACATTGAAACAGCTGAGAATGGGGTTAACACAGGCATGGGCGAAGATTTGACTACACCAGTCCCGCTTTCCCGCGGTAGCCTTGAATGTTATTACACTTCGAGAACTCATCCAACTACTTTGTGGAAGCTGTAAGGTTTGGGGATGGAACGATGTTGGATGAGGCAGGGTCCCTACCTGGAACATTGATTTTCTTGTTCGTCAAATGCTGTCTGACCTGCTGTGCTCCTCCAGCTCCACATTTTGTTGACACCAAACAGTTCCTGTATTTGATTCCTTTTCAGTTAGCACTTGATATTAGACCTAACAATTTGACAATAGCAGAGGACGTAGTGAGGTGGAACTGTGTGCTGTCAGCCTGCATGTAGAACCTGACCTTATTTCAATAAACTGCCTGGGTTAACATTTGGGAGAGAAAGGGAAGGGAAGCCACTCCTTATTAGGGGGTGGGGGCTGGAGACTGAAGAGGAATGACTGCAAATAGGTTTCAGTGGGGCGGCAAACAAAATAAACTGTTTATTTTTCAAGGAACCTTTCTTCCTATCAGTGTAGAAGATATTGACAATAGTGGGGGAGTCTTTTCTTTTCAACTGTCCCTCAGGATCGAGGCTGACCATCTTCTACCCAGGTGCCCTGGGTCTTGAGGACTAAATAGCTGTATTCTGGAGCCATACATCCCACCACAGAGACTCTACTGCCCTCCTGGGAGATGGAGAATTTCAAAAAATTTGCCTCCATATATCTCTTTTCCTCTCTCTCTCTGTCTTTTTCTCCATCTCTCTCTTTCTCTTACTCTCTCTCTCTTCTTCTCTCTCTCTATCTGTCTGTCTCTCTCTTTCTCTCTCTCTCTCTATCTGTCTGTATGTCTCTCTGTCTCTCTCTATGTCAATTCTACCTGTCTGACTCTCTCTCTCTCTCTGTCTCTCTCTCCATCTCTTTCTCTTTCCCCAAGTGATGAAAATTGTCCCTCAGTGGTAACCTCTAACCGTAAGATTGAGGCCCCCTCATTCTGTCTCCATCCCTGGTGGTGGTGGAGCGTGTGTGTGTGAATGAATGTGCCCTTCCTGCATCTAACCTGTCGGCATTTTGTACATTTAGTTGAGGAACCCCCCCACCCCACCCCCTTGATTTTCTAAACTCCAGAGAATACAGGACCCATCTCCTTGTCCTTCTTTCCAGCCATCCCGGGTAGTGAACCTCCGTTACACCACCTCTATTTCCATATCCTTGCTGTGTTAGCGGATTGATTTCTGCTTTTGGAAGTCACTGCTATGCGCAGACCCCAGTGGTCTCTGCAAAGGAAAAGAAAATCAGAGAATGTAGGTCAGAATATCCGTGTTCAAGGCCCCCTGTTCCAGGACCATCTTATAACATTGCCTGCTCAGGTTGATTAAAATTATCTATCCCCCTCTTAGACACGGGGACCAGAACTGTGCAGGATACGTTCCAGACGTGGTCTCCCAAAGATAATATTATGGAGATGCTGGTGTTGGACTGGGGTGGACAAAGTCAGAAGTCACACGACGCCAGGTTATAGTCCAACGGGTATATTTGAAATCACAAACTTTCGAAGCGCTGTTCCTTCACCTGACGAAGGAGAGCGTCCTGAAAGCTTGTGATTTCAAATAAACCTGTTGGTCTATGGCCTGGTCTCATATGATTTCTGACTTTGTCCCACATGTAAAATAAGGGATGCTGGGGATCTGAAGCAAAATATAATAACCCTGAAAGTGCTGGAGAAACTCAGCAGGTCTTGCAGCATCTGTGGAGAGAAAGCAGAATCGATGGTTCTGAAGTTTTCAGTTCTGAAGGGATTCGAAACGTGGAGGATGTGTCAATTGTAGGACCAGCTTGCCTGCTGCATCAGCTTGGACCACAGATAGGGGGAAGCAAATTACTACCCTGTCACGTAGCAAAATATTTGCAATAGATGAAAAACCACAGAGCAGGGCTTCAGCAAAGGTGATGCCATAACTTCCATATTGGCAGAAAGACCTAGGGGTTCAGAAACATAATTCTTTGAAGTTTGCATCACAGGTAGACAGGGTGGTTAAGAAGGCATTTAGCATGCTTGCTTTCATTGCTCAGACCTTTGAGTATAGGAGTTGGACGTTATATTAAAGTTGTACAGGATATTGGTAAGGCCACTTCTGGAGTACTGTGTCCAGTTCTGGTCTCCCTGTTATAGGAATGATATTAAGCTGGAGAGGGTTCAGAAAAGATTTACCAGGATGTTGCTGGGAATGGAGGGTTTGAGTTATAAGGAGTGGCTAGGACTTTTTCACTGGAACTAAGGAGGGGTGACCTTGTAGAGGTTTATAAAATCATGAGAAGTAAAGATAAGGTGAATGACAGGTGTCTTTTCTGTAGAGTGGGGGATTTCAAGACTAGTGGGGCATATTTTTAAGGTGAGATGAGAAAGATTTAAAAAAAAGACTTGAGGGGCAATTTTTTTTTTATACAGGGAGTGGTTTGTGTGTGGAATGAACTTCGAGAGGAAGTAATGGACGTGGGTACGGTTCCAACATTTAAAAGACATTTGGATAAGTACATGAATAGGAAAGGTTTGGAGGGATTTGGGCCAGGCGCAGGCAGATGGGACTAGTTTAGTTTGAGATTATGGTCAGTGTGGACTGGATGGGTGAAGGGTCTGTATGACTCTATGGCTGCTTAATGAATCACCGAGTGTTACAGTGCAGTAGGAGGCCGTTACAGTGCAGTAGGAGGCCATTCAGCCCAACAGATCTACCAAAGAGCAGTTCATTCCCCATATCCTTCTGACCATGGTGTACGAAATTCGAACGGGGCTGGATATATGGAGGCTGTTTCCCCCGAATGGGGGAGCCTAGAACCAGGGGAATACAATTTCAGGATATGAGACAGACCGTTTAGAACAGAGATGAGGGTGACTCAGAGCAATGAACCTGTGTAATTCTGTACCCATAAAATCACGAAACAGATAAGATTTCGAAGGCATCAAGGGTCATGAGGGAGAAACTGAGAACAGTTTGAGTTATAAAGATGTACAGCAAGGAAACAGACCCTTCGGTCCAACTTGTCCATGCCAACCAGATATCCCATATTAATCTAGTCCAGTTGAATGCTCAGCTGTGATCCTAATGAACGGTGGGATAGGGGAAAGACTCAAAGGGCCAAATGGCACACCCCTGTCAGACGGCACATTCCAAATCCAAGCCACCCACTCGGTGAAGATAGCTATACTCTCACAGTACCACCAGTCCTTTTAAAAAACAATAGTCTTAAATCTATGCCAGCTGTTTGCCGACCCTCCGGCAACTGAAAATACCTTCTCTTTACTTTCTGTCCGTACCCACCCCCGACCCAATTAGACTAGTAAGAGAGCGAGAGAGACTCTGATCGTTACAATTAGCCCATATTTCCATTTCTGATCAATGACAAACTGTATTTGTCTACTACATAGGAAATAAGGTGGAACCCCAAATTGGAGACATTGTGAAAAGGATCAAGACCCTAATTGAAGGTAACTTGTCTTTATCTAACACTGGATGGTGCATTTGTTGGGTATGCCAAATTGCACCAAGTCTCTCACTGGGGACATTTTAAAGGGCAGTTAAGATTAAGCTATGTAGTGTCTGGATTATGGAAGGTTTGAGTCATAAAGAGAGGCTGGGACTTTTTTTCACTGCAGCGTAGGAGGTTGAGAAGCGACCTTACGGAAATGTGTAAAATAATGAGGGGTACAGGTAGAGTTAATGGGTGGGGGATTTCAAGATTAGGGGGCGCATTTTTAATGTGAGGGGAGACGGATTTAAAAAAGACATGAGGGTCACAGTTTTTACACAGAGAGTGGTTCGCGTGTGGAATGGACACCCAGAGGAAGTGATGCATGTGGGTACAGTTACAACGTTTAAAAGACATTTGGATAAGTAGGTTTGTAGGTATATGGGCCAGGCACAGGCAAGTGGGACTAGTTTAGTTTGGGATTAAGTTCGGCATGGACTGGTTGGACTGAAGGGTCTGTTTCTGTGCTGTATGACTCTATGAGTGAAGGCCAGATCAGATAAGGATGGCAGATTTCCTCCTCCAAAGGACATTAGTGAACTAGATGGGTTTGTTTTATAATGATCACTGAAGGTTTCACAGTCGTCATGACTGAGCTTTCAATTCCGGGCTTATGATTGCGTTTAAATTCCACCAACTCGCCCTAGCTCAGACCTCTGAATGACTCACACATTTTACTGTGGCAGCATCCATCTGACTCCTAGATGCAGAAAAAATTTCCTTTTGGACTACTTTCAGCAGGGATCTTTGGATCAAAGTTTGTGCTATCTGTATGCTGCATGGGCAGTGGGAGAAGGGAAGGGCCTCTATTATCATAGATCATAGAATCCCTACAGTGTGGAAACAGGCCCTTTGGCCCAACAAGTCCACACCGACCCTCAGAGCATCCCACCCAGAACCATCCCCCTAATCTCGGCATCCGTGAACACTACAGGATAATTTAGCATGGCCAGTCCACCTAGCCTGCACATCTTTGGACTGTGGGAGGAAACTGGAGCACACCCACACAGAGAATGTGCAAACTCCATACAGATAATCGCCCAAGGGTGGAATTGAACCCGGGTCCCTAGCACTGTGAGGCAGCAGTGCTAATCACTGTGCCACCCAATGGGCAAGGAAGCAGGCAAGTGTCACAAGCAGCATCCTAGACCTACAAGCGACGCTGAAAACACTGCAGCTGTTCGGTAGCGCCCACCTCCTTTTTACCGGTTGCATTCCACTCGCCTGGCCAAGGCTCAGTCTGGAAGGCAGCATAAACCTGGGCCACACAGATCCTTCGTGAAATTTAAAATGACCAGGCCAGGACCTGGTCAAGCCCACCTACCCCTGCATCGTCTTGGTTAAAACTGGAAAAGGGCTCCTAGGAGTCGGAATGGTGATTTTCTGAAAAGTTCGCGTCTCACCCGACACCATCCCATCTTTTCTGGGATTGAGGTTCACACCTTGCATCCTACCCCCAACCAGTCTCAAAACCCTGGACTTGTCTGGAACAGAATCATGTTTCTAATTCTTTTAAACTGACAGTAAGGGTCCCTCTACATCATGGGGAGGTGATGGCGTAGTGGTATTATCGCTGGACCGTTAATGCAGAAGACCCAGATAAGGTTCTGGGGACCTGGGTTTGAATCCCACCACAGCAAAGGGTGGAATTTGAATTCAATAAAATATGTGGAATTAAGAATCTAATGATGACCGTGAATCCATTGTCGATTGTTAGGAAAAACCCATCTGGTTCACTAATGTCCTTTTAGGGAAGGAAACTGCCATCCTCACCTGGTCTGGCCTACGTGTGACTCCAGACCCACAGCAATGTAGTTGACTCTTAACTGCTGTCTGGGCAATAAATGCTGCCAAGCAGCGACGCCCTCATTCCGTGAATGAACAAAGAATGGATCCTCATCAATCACTCCCAGGACAGGGACAGCATGGGGTTAGATACAGAGTAAAGCTCCCTGTACACTGTTGCTCCCTTCCCCGCCACAAACACTCCCAGGACAGCAATAGATTGGGGTTAGGTACAGAGTAAATCTCCTCCAAACTGCCCTTCCCCCCCCCACCCCCCCCCCCCCCCAACAAACGCTTCCAGGACAGGAAAAGCGTGTTATTAGACATGGTGTAAAGCTGACTCCACTCTTTTAAACTGAAAGTAAAACCTGCTCTGCTCTTAAAATGAAAGGTTCCTTTATTCAGAATCACGTTTCTAAATTAGTGGACGAGTGGGCCCAGGAAGGGAAGGGAATTGTGTGGCGCCAGATCAGAGAGGCTGAAGCACAGTGACATAGCAAGGAGTAATTTATGAGATGCCGCTCTCTTTGATCTCCACTGTAAACTAAAGCATCCTCCCCTGCTCCATCCCTTCACCAGCCCTGCCTGTCACCAATAGGCAACCTGTATGAGTGGCTGGTCGACGGTGGACACTGCCCCTCTTAAAGCCGCTGTCTCAGCAAATCGTACTTGGGGTACCAGTACGGATAAACGGTGGTGCTGCACCGGTCAGTGCCAATCAGGATGGTCACCTCTCACTGGTCCCATGCGAAAGGAGATTTACCTGAGCCCACACTACCTGCAATAAATAGCCAGTCGAGCTGAGGTGGGCATACCCTCATTCAGGGAATAAAGCTTCTCACCTCAACAAATGTCACACCTGCACTCCCAAAAAAAGCTCTGATTCCCAGATACCAATTTGGAAAGCTAGTTGCTGTCTCTCTCTGGAATATCACTCTCGTCTCCCTCTTTATTGGTGGAGCGATGGCCTTGTGGTAGCATCACTGGACAGTTAATCTAGAGACCCAGGTAATGCTCTGGGGACACTGGTTCAAATCCCACCGTGGCAGGTGGTGGAATTTGAATTCAATTTTTCGAGAAATCTGGAATTAAGAGCTAAGATGACCATGACCATCCATTGTGGAGGGAAAGCCCATCCGGTTCACTGATGTCCTTTAGGGAAGGGAGCTGTCGTCCTTATGCAGTCTGGCCCACATGTGACTCCAGACCCACAGCATGCGTTTGACTCTTAACTGTCCTCTGGGCAATTAGGGATGGGCAATAAGTATCAGCCTAGCCAGTGCTGCTGACATCCTGAGAATGAATAAATTTTTTTTAAAAAGTGTCAGAAACAAAAATAGAGAAGCTCAGCAGGTCTGGCACCACCTATCGAGAGAAATCAGAGTTAATGTTTCGGGTTGAGTGACTCTTCCTCAGAACTTGACACTGGCTAGATCTGCTGAGCTTTTCCAGCAATTTCTGCTATCGTCTCTGATTTTGCAGCGTCCGCGGTTTGCTCGCTTTTTTAAAAAAAAAGTGTCAATGTATTTCAGAGAAAAGAGTGAACGATGAGGAACTGAAGAAGTTGCAGGCACAAAGAGGAGAAATGGAGAAGGAACTCGACGGGTGTACGTATGTACGCACGCCTCCCCTTTGACGGGGTTGCCAGTGGTTGGGCAGGACAGGGCAACAGTTAGTAAATGGCTTGTATGCAACACTTTTGGACAGCAATGCCTCTTATCAGGAGTAGAGTCTGCCAAGGCCGTCAAAAAGAACCAGGTAAACAAGTGAAACCGCCTTCTCAAAGAACACATAATAACAGGTGGTAGCTACACTCCATCCACTGCCACTTTGGCGATTGCAGGCTTAGCTGCTGCCAAAACAGAGCAAAGACAACGCACTTAAAGTAAACATCCACCCTGTGGACAATCACTTGCAGGAAAGGTAACCTGAAGTCAGGTGAGTCAAGAGATAGGTGTAACTCCCAGGCTTACTTCTGATGGTTTCCAGGACTGGTAAATGTGAGGTGTTGCATTTTGGTAAGGTAAATCAGGGCCAGGACTTGTACAGTAACAAGAACAGAAATTTCTGAAAAAGCTCAGCAGGTCTGGCAGCATCTGTGGGGAGAAACCAGAGTTAACGTTTTGGGTCCAGTGACCCTTAGAACTGGACCCGAAACATTAACGCTGATTTCTGTCTGATTTGCTGAGCTCTTCCTGCAATTTCTGTTTTGTTTCTGATTCCCAGCATACTCAGTTTTTATTCAGGATTTATAAGGTGAAAGGTAGGGCCCTTTCGTGTATTGCTGAACGAAGAGACAATAGGGGTCCAGGTGCATAGTTCCTTGAAGGTGGAGTCGCAGGTAGACAGGGCGGTGAAGAAGATGTTTGGTACGCTCGCCTTTACTGGTCAGTGCATTGAGTATAGGAGTTGGGATGTCAGGTTTTGGCTGTACAGGACATTGGCGAGGGCACTTTCAGAATACTGCATTCAATTCCGGTCTCCTTGCTTTAGGAAAGATATTGTTAAACTTGAAAGGGTTCAGAAAAGATTGACAGGGATGCTGCAGGATTGGAGGGTTTGAGCTATAGGGAGAGTCTGGATAGGCTGGGGCTATTTTCCCTGGCGTGTCGGAGGCTGAAGAGTGACCTTATAGAGGTTTATAAAATCATGAGGGGCACAGATAGGGTGAATAGCCAAGGTCTTTCCCCCCAGGGTAGGGGAGTTCACAACTAGAGGGGCATAGGTTTAAGGTGAGAGGGGAAAGATTTAAAAGGGACCTAAGGAGCAACTTTTTCACATAGATGGTGGTGCGTGTATAGAACGAGCTGCCAGAGGAAGTGGGTGGAGGCTGGTACAATTACAACATTTAAAAGGTGTTTGGATGGTTGTATGAATAGGAAGTGTTTAGCGGGATATGGGCCAAATGCTGGCAAATGGGACTGGATTAATTTGGAATTATCTGGTTGGCAAGGACGAGTTGGACTGAGGGGTCTGTTTCCATACTGTATAACTCTACATCTGAAATCCCTCAGACTAGATCACTGTTTCCCAGGCAGGTGCTCCAAAGATTCATAGAATCCCTCAGTGTGGAAACAAGCATTTCGGCTCAACGAGTCCACACTGACCCTCCGAAGAGCATCCCACCCAGACTCATCCCCCTACCCTATCCCTGTAATCCTGCATTTCCCATGGCTAACACATCTAACCTACACATTCCTGAACACTATGGATAATTTAGCATGGCCAATCCACCTAACTTGCACAACTTCGGACTATCGAAGGAAACCAGAGCATCCAGAGGAAACCCACGCATACACGGGGAGAACACGCAAACTCCACACAGACAGTCGCCCGAGGCTGGAATCAAACCGTGACACTGTGAGCCAGCAGCGCTAACCACTAAGCCATCCATTCATTCTTCCTCTAGAGCTGTGACCTCTACCATCTAGAAGGACCAAAGGTAGCAGGTACATGGGAACACCACCTGCAGCAAGTTCCCAGCCAAATCCACACACTCTGCCCTGACCTTGGAATGATATTGGCTGTCCCATCACTGTCCTCGTAACTAGCTCCGTAACTGTAACTGTGTGGGTGAGCCTACATCGCACAGAGTCCTCAGGAGTTCAATAAAGCAGCTCACTGCCACCTCGTCAATTATGGAGGGGCACTAAAGGCTGGCCAGCCATGTTCCATGAGTGAATTTTTGTTGAAAAAAGCCTTGCGAATAACCGGCACACCTCAATGTGGAGTGCAGAACAGCACGACCCGTAAACCGTGTCACTCAATCTGCTGGGGATGTGACTGCGGGGTCAGCATACCTGAAAAGCAGGCGAGAGCAGAGTCTGTGAGACACGTGAGTGAGAACGTGAGCCAGTCGAGTGTGGAACTCTAGTGTCAAAACATCTCTTCTTGTTTTCTCCCCTCAGTTCCTGGCACCTCATGGACACCTTCAAGTGGTGCCCTCCTGTGCCATAGGGCCGCCTTTAGTTTTTCCTTTATAAAGTGAGTACCAATATGCAGTTCCACTCTGGGGAGCGTCAGAACTAGGCTAAATTGCTTCAGACCAGTGATCAGGTTTGGGAAGTCTGATTGGATCGCTTGGAAATAAAGAGAAAGTGATTCCTGATGTACAACACCATGGGCATGTCAGCAATGGGATGTGGCGGTGGGGGGTGCGGATTCTGCCATTAGGGTGGGAGGAGGGGTAAGAAGATGGGGCATAGCCTACTTTGAAAACTGATCAATGCGCAGTCACCTTTGACTATGAAAATGTATGGCTGCCTTACAATGAAATTTCTGTTTCTCAACAGTAAATCAGGAGATCTTTCATCTGGAGGGTAACTGCAACGCTAAGGAAGGTAAGATGGAATTAACTGACATTAGATAGGTCTCTGTAGAGTATTTATCTCATGTAACACTCAGGAAACACTCAGCTGGTCAGACAACATTTTATGCAGGTAGTACTCAGGGAAATACTCAACAGGTCAGACAGTATCTGGAGTATTTAATTCAGGGTAAACTCGGGGAATTAACTGTTCAGATGGTATCTGGAGTATCTTACTATGGTCCCCCTACTTAGTAATGATTTGGGAGTTAGAGGAAGCTAAAGAGAGAAGTCTTCCAAAGTGGCAGTTCCAGTTGTTCACAGAGACTTGAAACAACTTTTGTTTGATTTTCCCTAATCTACGCTTGTGGGGGAGAATTTGTAACTTCCATGGACAGGCCTTGGTGCTGTTGCCCTTCACTGTAATGTGCCACGTTCTGATTTCACTGGAGCTTTTGTGAGCACCCACACTTGCAGCCAGTGAGCCAGGACTTAACCTCAGGAATGCTGCAACTCAGCCTGAATGCTAGCGTGTCTGCACCTGAGGTTTCCCATCCTGCTAGGGCAAGTTCGTAGCTTTTCTCAAATGGCTGTGGGTGATGCCCATGTGATGGCCGAGCCTACCCTGTCACCAGAAACAGCTTTGTGGTAGTGGTAACCAGTCTCACCTGAAAGGAAGATTTCATTTTGTTTACATCAGCCTTCCCTCTTAAAGGAATTCCTTCTTTATCCAGCAGTGTAATCCATTATTAGAATTAGAATTAGCTTTCATTGTCACATGTACTCAAGTACAGGAGTACACTGAACAGTTTACAAGTCGCCGTTCAAGGCACCACCTTAGGTACAAGTAGCTAGGTACAAAGTCTTAGGTAAAGAATAGAAAAATAACGAAATAAGTTAAAAGCTGAACATTACAGTTCTTGTCAGTATAAAGCAACAGCATTCAAGAAGCACCTGGACTAATACACAAATTAGAAGGGAATGGAGGGATGTGGATCCTGTAAGTGAAGACAGTTTTAATATGGAAAGGCAAAATGTATCGGCGCAGACTTGGAGACCCGAAGGGCCTGTTCCCATGCTGCATTGTTTTTATTTTGTTCTAGTAAGTAAGAAATAAGGTTATTAATTCCAAATTACAGTCCTTCTTTAACAATGGTCCTGCAGTCACTTCACTTTACCTTTCCCAGGAGAGCTTGATCTCTGTCCTGTACTGGTCTTGATCTCTCAATCTGCACGCCTCCATGCTGCCGTCTTGCTGCTGACCGCCATCCCCTCTCTCCTGCTTTGGCATCGATCTAATGATCTCTGTGTTGCCGTCTCATCGCCAACCTCATCTCATCACAGGCTGCCCTGCTCCGGTGCCGCTTCTGGCCCCCCGTTGCTTCCACGATGCTGCCAATCACCAGAGTTCTGCCTGGACACACCAACCACCATGTGGCCGATTGGTAAAGTCCACAGAGTTTGCAAGCCCAAAATACGATGCTAATGTCTAGGTCCTATTCTAAGGTAGAAAACATTCAGAAGGGGTTTCCCAATGCCACACTGGCATAACATGCTCACTGAGGCATGAAGTTAAGCCAATTCAATGGGAAGGGCACCTTATCAAATTCCTAATGGAAGTCCAGATGTACTACATATCCAGGATCCCCATTATCAACCTGGCTTGTTACATCTTCAAAGAACTCTAACAAATTAGTTAAACATGATTCATCCTTCATGAAACCATGCTGGCTCTGATGGTTTTTAACTTTCACAATGTCCTGTTATTACTTCCTTAATAATGGATCCTAACAATTTCCTAAACTAAGTAAACTGTAGTTTCCTTCTTTCTGAATAAGGTGTCATGGGATCTTCAAAATAAAGAACTGCAGATGCTGGAAATCAGAAACGAAAACAGAAATTGCTGGAGAAACTCAGCATGTCTGGCAGCATCTGAGGAGAGAGAAAGCAGAGTTAATGTTTCAGGTCCAGTGACCCTTCTTCGGAAAGTTTGAAACACTGTTTCTGGTCTGTCTCTGTTTAGCAAGCTGTAACTAATGGTTCCACAGAATTTGGTTTACTATTTACAATCTATATTGATGACTTGGATATGGGAATAGAAAGTTTGCAGATGGCACTAAAATAGGTGAGAAAGGAAGTTGCAATGAATTGAAAAGAAATTTTTTTGTGGATATGCATAGAAACTTCAGAATGCTTCAGTGCAGAGGGTTCTGGGTGTCCTTGTGCATGAATCACAGAAAACTAGTATGCAGAGACAGCAGGTAATAAGGAAATCAAATGGAATTTTGGCTATTGCTAAAGGAATACAGTATAAAAGTAGTTGTTGCTGCAACTGTACAAGGCATTAGGGAGATCGCAGCTGGAGTATTGTGCACAATTCTGGTCTTGTTACTTAAGGAGGGATATAGCCGTATTCAGAGGGAGTTCACTAGATTGATTTCAGAGATGAGAGGCCTGTCTTATGAAAATGGAGTGAGCACTTTGGGCCTATCATCTTTAGAGTTTAGAAGAATGATAGGAGATTTATTTGAGGTATATAGATGCTAAAGAGTAAATGTAGGAAGGTTCTTTCCTCATATGGAACAACCTGGAGTGAAAGGTTATTCTTTAGGATAAGGGGGTAGCAGATTTAAAACAGTGATGGAACTCATATTGAAGTTGTACAGGACATTGGTGAGGCCTCTTCTAGAATAGTGTGTCCAGTTCTGGTCACCTAGTTATAAAAAGGATATTATTAAGCTAGAGAGGGTTCAGAAGAGATTTACCAGGATGTGTCCACGTACGGACGGTTTGAGTTATAAAGAAAGGCTGGAGAGGCTGGGACGTTTTTCACTGCAGCATAGGAGGTTGCAAGGTGACCTTATAGAAGTTTAAAAAATAATGAGGAGTATTGATAGAGTTAATGGTAGTTGTCTTTTCCCTAGGATGGGGGATTTTCAAGTCGAGGGGGTAAATTTTTAAGGTGAGAGAAGGAGATTTAAAAAGAAATGAGGGGCAATTTTTTTGCACAAAGTGTGATGTGCAATGAACTTCCAGAGGAAGTGGTGGATGTGGATACAGTTACAACGTTTAAAAGACATTTGGATAAGTACATGGATAGGAAAGGTTTGGAGGGATATGGGCTAGGAGCAGGCAGGTAGGACTATTTTAGTTTGGGATTATGTTCGGCATGGACTGGTTGGATCAAAGGGTCTGTTTCTGTGCTGTGTGACTGTATGAGGAGAAGTTACTTCTCTCAAAGGATTGTGAATCTGTGGAATTCCTGGAGTGTGGTAGATGCCGGGACATTGAGTAAATTTAAGGAGGAGATAGACAGATTTTTAATGAGTAATGGATTGAAGGATTATGGGGAACGGGCAGGAAGGTGGAGCTGAGGCAGAGATGAGACCAGCTACAATCATGTTAAATGGCAGGGAAGGCTGAATGGCCTACTCCTGCTCCTCATTCTTACGACAGAGTATAAGAAAACAGGAAATTTTCCTGATGTATATCGTCCCTATGAGGAAAGGTTGAGAAGACTGGGTCCTATCATCTCTGGAGTTCAGAAAAGTGAGAGGTGATCTTGTTGAAGCATGCAGATTTTGAACTCAATTGAATTAACTTTATTGTAACTCAGTCCTCAAATGCTGCAATTAACAAACACATTGAAATAGACCCCATCTACATACGACTACAGTACAAAACCGGAAACAAGACTGCCCGCCGTGACAGGCCAGACCATATAAATTCAGAGCAGGACAGAACAGCAGCACTTCACCAGAGGCTACACAGTACTGACGATGTCACTTAGAAGTGAGACAAAATGTTTACATGAAAACCAGTCACCTCAGCAAACCAACCAATAACTCCAACAGCAACCCAAGCTACGGATCTTCGTTAAAACATCAAATAGACCCTTCGGTCCAACTCGTCCATGCTGACCAGAGATCCTAAATTAATCTGGAGAGTGGTCTATGTCAATGTGTTAAGCAGTAAATGAACAGTAAACGTTTTAAGTCTCTTTTCCCAATCATGTTCCATTTCAGCAAATCTGAAGAGGCTGCATTTTCAGTATGATCAGAGTAAAGCTCAGACTGAGAGGTAAGGGAGGACTGGACCCCATTAACAAGAATCTCAACAAGGTAACCTATGATCAACTCAATCCGGCCAGCACAGCGGCTCATGTTCATCAAAGGGAAATTGTCTCCTTTTGTTGAATTAATCCATGTGCCTACTTCATTTTGACCGAGGAAGACTGGTGACAGTTTTGTGCCCCCATCTCCTCCTCTCCTGCTGCCCTGGTACTCCTCTTTACCTTTGACCCCACTAAACTGGGTGTGCAATTCCCTTGACACAGTGAGGAACGGGAGACAATTTCACTGTAGACGGGTTCTGTCTGGATCAGTCCAGTCCAGCGCAGTGCACACTTCAGCGCTCGTAAGGATAGCTGCATGAGATGTCCCGACTGTCACCCTGCTCGAGATCAGCACAGGGTGCCGACTGGAATTAGCCCCTGTTCGTCGGACGGCCACAACACAGGTGGAGGCCATTCAGCCCACTGTGTCCGTGCTGGCTGTCTGCCCCACTCCCCAGGGATAAAAGTCCAATTGATTCTGCCTCCGACACACTCTTGGGCAGTGCATTCCAGACCCATGACCACTTGCTGTGCCTTTGATTCATTTGCCACGCATCATATTCAAGAGTGATCCCCCTGGAGAGGTAGTGAGTAGAGAATGGTAGATTGAGGCTACTCACTACCATGATGTGTGCTGCTGATGTACATGAGGAGCAAGTACATCAGAATGTGACTTTATCCTCCTATAGGAGCCCCTGCACCATGATATAGTGGTGCTGCAGATCTCAGTGTGAAATGCCCCAGGCACTGAGATGGCCAACTTACAATGAGCTTTTCACCAACTACCCTAACCGCACGGTTTCTGATCCAGCAGTTCACAGTGCTGGTAAGGAGGAAGAGAGCTGGGAGTTACCAACCATTTGTAACCGGACACACCGATCATCAGTGACCGCCCGACAATGCCAGGCTACGGCTAAAAGCAATCCACCCTCTCACCCCACTCCACCTGCCCCCAGAAATGTTAACAGGACTGTGTGTGATTTCCTTAGACAGCTGGAAGTGAGCAGAGAGAGCAAACAGAGAATCACGATGTTAACTGCCCAGATTGAGGAAGAGAAGCTGAAGAGGAGGACAGAAAGGTATGAATTAGAGGTGAGAAGTCGGCCCCTTGAGCCAGCTCCACGATTCAGCAAGGTCATGGTGGGTCTGAGTGTCCCATCCACCCTTCTTGATCCTGTATCCCCTGTCTGACAAGATTATAGAGACATATGAGAGGTAACAGAGGGCCAGTGTTGCAGGCAGCACCCGGCCACTAAAAGTTACATCTTTCAAGTCCAGGAGGTTAATGACAGATATAACGTTAATTCCTCCCACTGGCCATGCACCAGTGTCACAGAATTTTCACCGGCTTCTCCACCACCCTGCTTCCCCGAATAGGCTCGAGGTAGATCTAGCTTAAACTTCTTCAGGCATCCCAAGCGTTTGAGTGGGTTAGAGAATGTAAAATATAACTCAATTGTGCAGGCCAGGCAGGCGGTCACAAGGCCCATTGTCTGGCTGTCACAGTTTATCTGCTGACGATGGGTATACGCAACCTACTCCTTGACCATGACATTCCTGTCCCTCGATCAGATTCACGGAGCCATAGAGGTCTACAGCACGAAAACAGGCCCTTTGACACAACTTGCCCATGCTGCCCAGTTTTCACAAATTGAACTTAGCCCCATTTGCCTGCATTTGCTCCACAGTCCTCTGTACCTATCCCATCCGTGTACCTCTAAATGTTCCTTAAATGACGAAATTAGCTGATTCCTAGTTTTTTTTCAAAAGAAGCTAAGCGTCCCACCAAAGTCAACCCTCAGTGAAAGGTGCCCAAGCCCACGACCCTCCAAATCCTGCAGCTACCAGAACATACATGGACTTTCCAGCCCCAACCTCTCATCCTCCCTCCCAGCTTCCTCTTGTACATGGTCCTGGATTCCCAGAGATCGGGCTCCACTCTGTATCCAGCCCCTGGTCTCCTGCCCCTCCCTCTCCCAGCTACCTTTTATACATGTCCCTGGATTTCCAGAGATTGGGCTTCACTCTGTATCTAGTCCCTGGTCTTCTGTAATGTCCGTCCAACTGCCTCTGGAACAAAGTCCTGGATTCCCAGGGATTGAGATCCACTATATATCCAGCTCCCAGCCTCTTGTCTTCCCTCCCAGCTTCCTCTTGTACATGGGATCGGGATCCACTCTGCATCCACCTTCAGTCAATGCTCTCCCTCCACTTCTCTTTCCAAATTGTCATGGAACACACTGAGCCTTTAGGTCTGCCACGGAAACCTGACTTAATGGTGTTATATCTTTGTAAAGTGCAGTATCAGGGTGAAGTTTTACACTTGACTTAAGTGACTCGTGGCATATGTAGCTCTCTTTGTGCTCACGTTTATCAAAGGTTTTTAAAAGAACTTGTCGAGATGAATTAGGAAAGATGTAGTGCTTCCAGCAACCTTCTTTAATTCTTTCAGGAACACATTTGAGCACCAACTCGAGGAACTCATCAGCAAGCACAAGTGGATGGCTGAATTTTACGTAAGAAAAACAGGGGCGGGAACGGGAACACGTGTATTAGGAGCAAGAGGAGGCCATTTGGCCTCTCAGGGCTGCTGTGCCCTCCCATCAGGCAATGACCGATCTGATTGAGGCCGTAGTTCCACTCTTCTGTGTGCTCAACCAGATCTTTTCTGACAATTGACAATAGTTTATTGAGTCCGAATGTGTTCAGAAAAGATTCACAAGCACGTTGGAGGGTTTGAGCTATAGGGAGAGGCTGAATAGGCTCGGGCTATTTTCCCTGGAGAGTCAGAGGCAAAGGGTTGACCTTATAGAGGTTTATAAAATCATGAGGGGCATGGATAGGGTGAATAGATGAGGTCTTTTCCCCAGGGTAGGGGAGTCCAAAACTAGAGGGGCATAGATTTAAGGGGACAGTGGAAAGTTTTAAAAGGGACTTAAGGGGCAACTTTTTCACACAGAGTGTGGTGCGTGTATGGAATGAGCTGCCAGAGGAAGTGGTGGAGGCTGGTACAATTACAACATTTAAAAGGCATCTGGATGGTTACATGAATTGGAAGATTTAGTGGGATATGGGCCAAATGCTAGCACATGGGACTGGATTAATTTAGAATATATGGTCAGCATGGATGACTTGGACCGAAGGGCCTGTTTCCATGCTGTACATCTCTATGCCTCTTAATTCCAGACATTTTATTGAATTCAAATTCCACCAGCTGTCCTGGAAAGATTCCTCATGGGAATTGAGGGATGGTACTCCTATCCAAAAGCTACTGAAAATGATTTAGTTGCAGTAGTCATGCACGGAGTAATCCAACATTGTACAACTGGCTCTGGGCTGCGTGTCTCTGCTTCAGTGTAATTTTGTACCTTAGAAATAAACGCAACTGTCAGTTTTAGCCTGACGTGTGCATTGCATTCATTGATGACTCTGCGAAGAGGAGAGAACAGGATTGACAGCCTATGGTAATAGACTTATTGTTGGCCTCCTGCTCACTGTCCCACTGACATGGGAAAGTGCTTTAGGTATGCTTGCCTAACGACACATTGCCGACATAGGAAAACGAAGAATGGAAAATTAAGGGAGTACTAAAAGCTCATCCTTGTCTCCCATGAATGGGATTGCTGCCAGGCGAGGTTGTCAATGGCTTGCCTCTACTCCACACTCAGTGTGATCTTTGTCTCTTCTGTTCCAGCAGACTCCAGCCAGGCTTGAACTGGAGATGTGTAACATCGAAAGCTCCAAGCAGCAGCTTCTGAGTGAAGGTAACCACTCCCCTATCGCAACTAATTGAGATGTAATGACGTCCGTGACTTTCTACACCACCTTCCATCTTCCTGCTGTGCCTCAACACTCTCCCTCTCGCTCCCACCAACCCCTTCTTGAGTCCATCATCTATGTCCATTGCCTTTCTTTGAAACAGAGCACGCGATGCTGGAGAAACTGGGCACCCTGGACAAGGAACTGGACTCCCTCCGGCAACAAGGTGCCACCTCCGATGAAGGCATCTTCCTGCGCAGCAAAGAGGCAAAGTTCGCCCAGTGCGTACTGCATCTGGTAAAGGCCGGGGCTTGGGGGGCGAGTCCATGTCAAACATTGAAGTGACCAACACAGGATGGGATGTCAGGGTGCATCCCCAACCCCAGCCCTATGTGTGGAAAACTCTCCGTCCCCTGTTCCTCTGGCGGAATTGGTAGCGACGGTGTTTGCAGAGGGCCCACCAATAAGCAAGCACACAGTGACTGGCGCCTCGTGGCTCACCGTTGGCCACAGCTGAAATCAGCTCTTCCAGTTTGAGCTGCACCCATGCCAAGCCGGGGTGAAAAGCCTCTGTGGATCAATGGGGGAAGGAGCTGGCTCACGTAGAAGTCTGCAGGCAGAGCAGGAAGCTGGCACTGAACCAGGCCAATCCTCAGGTCATGCAAATGTAGTATCACAAAGTCAAAGATTGTGAACCGTGTGTTATTTATTCTGCTGCTGAGATTGAGTTTAAAATCCTTTATTTTCACACCAGTTTATTTTTAAAGCTGTGCCTTATTTTTTGATTTTTGTCTCCTGTTCTTGTTTAATTGGCTTGTTACCATAAAATATCACAACCAAGGCCAGGCTTCACACCACTTTCCCTCTTCCTGTTCTATTCTTGAACTGTTTTCAAAATTCCAGTCCAGTATCATTGTTATCAGATCGCTCTTGTCCTGAAAACTCTGGCACCATGGGCCTTGGGCTCTCCCAGTCCTTCTGCATGATAAAGCCTTGTTCTGTTCTCCCTGCACCATGAGGCCTGCACTCCCTGGCGCTTTGTCTCAATCTCCCTTCATATGGGGCCTCAGGCCTTGCCCTGGTCTCCCTGCATCATGTGGGGTTCTATGAAATAACTCCACAGAAGCCAGTACCCTGTCACCAAGTCACCCTTGATTTACACATGAACAGTCCTTGACTGTAGCACTACCTTGTACAGAGTCAGGCACCAGAGTGTCAATATCTCTGACACTCAATCTTTTTATGTCAGCCAGGCCTTCCTGATTGGACCAGCTTAACAGCCCTAATCAGGGAACACATATTCTATGATTTCCAGCTGGCTGACCTCATTGTAGTCATTACATGGACCTCAGGCTTTGCTCTGGTCTCCCCACGCCATGTGAAGCCTTGGGCCTGTTCTCCCTGTACTATCAGGACTCGGTAACATCTCCCTGGTCCCTGGTGCCTTGTCCTGGTCTCTCTGCACCGTGGGGCCCCAGGCCTTGCACCACCTGGGGTCTTGTGTCTGTTCTCACTGCACCATGAGGCCTTGAGCCCATCCTCCCTGCACAATGAAGCCTTGAGCCTGGTCTTCCTGCACCTTGGGGTCTCAGGCCTGGATTACCTGCACTGTGGGGCCTTAGACGTTTCCCTGCTCTCCCAGACATACTGGGAGAGCATTTTTTTTATTTATTCCCAGACTGAGGGCATCGCTGGGTAGGCCAGCATTTATTGCCCATCCCTAATTGCCCAGAGAGCAATTAAGAGTTAACCACATTGCTGTGAGTCTGGAGTCACATGTAGGCCAGACCAGGTAAGGATGGCAGGTTCCATCCCTAAAGGACATTAGTGAACCAGGTGGGTTTTTCCTAACATACGGCAATGGATCCACGGTCATCATTAGATTCTTAATTCCAGATATTCATTGAATTCAAATTCCATCATCTGCCATGGTGGGATTCGAACCCGGGTCCCCAGAACATTATCTGGGTCTCTGAATTAACAGTCCAGCGATAATACTACAAGGTCATCACCTCCCCATGGGGTCTCTGTCCTTCCGTAGTCAGTCTGTGTGCGGGATCTTAGGTTTTGCCCTAGACTCCTTTGCCTTGGGGCATTGTCTCCATTGCATCTCTGTGTCCTGAAGCCTAGATTTCCCTGGTTCATCTGCACTGTGAGGCTGCTAACCTCGGCACCCCTGTCTCCCTGCATTATGGAGCCTTGCTTTCCCAGTATAGCTGCACTGTGAAGCCTCATTCACAGGCCCCTGCTCCCCCTACGCCATGAGGCATTCCCATGGGTATCTAAGACAAATCAGATTTTGAGAATTGCTTGAAAGCATATTTTAAGAAAAGCAACATGAAAACAGATTGGACATGAAATCGTTGCAGCATTTTGTGTCTTTTGATCTGCAGCCAGCTGTTTGAGGAAGAGAACAAGGCGGTGAAAAGATTGTTCCGGGAGGTGTCGGAGTGCTCCTCAGATCATCAGCAGATACCAAAGCTAAGCAGGTGAGATAAAAAGATCCAGCCCTTGAATCTGTGACCAAACTGGAATATTGTTTCTCATCTTGAGCAGCACGAGGAATCTCTCATTGGTGATTTATAGAGTCATAGAGATGTACAGCGTATAAACAGACCCTTCAGTCCATCTAGTCCATGCCGATCAGATATCCTAAATTAATCTAGTTTCATTTGCTGGCATTTGGCCCACATCCCATTAAACCCTGCCTATCTATGTACCCATCCAGATGCCTTTTAAATGTTGTAATTGTACCAGCCCCCACCACTTCCTCTGGCAAAAGTTGCCCCTTAGGTCCACTTTAAATCTTTCCCCTCTCACCTTAAACCTACGTCCTCTAGTTTTGGACTCCTCTACCTCAGGGAAAAGACCTTGTCTATTCCCCCTACCCATACCCCTCATGATTTTATAAACCTCTATAAGGTCACCCCCTCAGCCTCCAGGGAAAATAGCCCCAGCCAATTCAGCCTCTCCCTATAGCTCAAACCCTTCAACATCCTTATAAATCTTTTCTGACCCCTTTCAAGTTTCACAGGTTCCTTCCTATAGCAGTATTCCAATTTTCTGGCTGATTGTTGCTGACAAAGTGTTGGTGAGATTGAAATCGAGATTAGCCATGATGTTAACTGAATGGCTTCCCCTTCATTCCATGTCCTGAGCGTCATTAGTCATCTTGGACAAGCCAGTTGCACAGGATGTGGGTACTGACAGCATTTATTGACCATCCCTAATTGCCCAGGTATTGTTCAAGAGTCAGCCTGATGAGTAGAATATCTCGGGCCATAGAGACGGCTTTCAACTGGTTAGAGGTGGTGGCGTTTGGGGGTGGGGAGGGGTAGTGTGGGGTACATAGGCTTTCAAACCAGAAGGATATGATGGTGTTGCAAATATTTTCGTCATGACACCCAAAATAAGGCAGGAAGGGACAGAGTGTGCAAGCATTAAAAAAAGAACAAATAGATTCAAAGTAGGAAAAAAATATAGTAAAATGTTAGCATTCAGAACAAAATAAATGAATTAACAGGACAAATACAGATCAAAGGGTATGATCTTGTCGCCATTATGGAGACATTGAGACAAGGAAACCAAAGCTGGGGACAAAATATTCAGGTCTATCAACTGTTTGAAAGGATGGACAGGAAGGAAAGGGAAGGGTGGTGAGGTGGCTTTGATAGTGTGCGATCAAATAAGTACAATGACGAGAAATGATCTTGGATTAGATGCTATAGAATCCATATGAGTGGAGTTAAGAAATAACGAGTGGAAGAAGACACTTGTGGGACCACAACCCCCAACAGTAGCTGTTATGTGCAACAGAGAATATACCAGGAGATAATGACAGCATGTAAAAAAGGTTAGGCATTAATCACGGGTATTGTATATCTTCACGTAGATTAGGAACATCAAACTGACAAAGTTAACCACAATAAAGAATTTAGGGTGTATTTGGGACAGTCTTTAAGAACAGGCCAAAGAGGGATCCGGCTAGTTTGGATCTGGTGATGAGAAATAAGGCAGATTTAATAAATGATGTCAGCGTAAAAGATCTACTGAGGAACAGCAATCATAACTCAGTGGAATTTAGCACTTGCTTTGAGGATGAGAAACTTGGGTCAGAAACAACTGTGCTAAACCAAGATAAAAACGAGAAGAACTATGGATGCTGTAAATCAGAAACAAAAACAGAAATTGCTGGAAAAGCTCAGCAAGTCTGGCAGCATCTGTAGAAAGAATCAGAGTTAACGTTTTGAGTCAAGTGGAGGAAGGGTCACTCGACCTGAAACATTAACTCTGATTTCTGTCTCCACAGATGCTGCCAGACCTGCTGAGCTTTTCCAGCGATTTATGTTTTAGCGCTAAACCTAAATGAGGGTGATTACAAAGGAATGAGGGCAGAGCTGGGTAGAGTGGGAGAGGAGTTGAGGAGAAAAGGAGGTTGAGGCAGATATTTAAGAAAGTAGTCTATGGCTCACAACAAGATATAAAAGGTAGAGTTGCCATTGTCTTACCAAACCTACTCTGTCATTAGAGAGGGACATCCAGTGGTGGTTTAACTGAAGGTCACCATGCCTCAGGCATAGGGAGAGGCTGAAAAGGAAATGATAAACTGCAGCTGGTAGGGGAATTGAACCTGCATTGCTCTGCATCACAAACCAGCCAGCCAGCCAACTGAGCTAATCAACCCCCTACAAAAACTGTTATTCTAGCCATGAAGAAGCATTCTAGGAAGGGGATAAATTGACCATGGTTAACCAAGAAAGTTAATGTTAGTATCAAAGTAAAAGAGAAAAATATACCAGTTTGCATAGATTAGTAAAAACCAGAGAATCAGGAGGGTTTCAAAATGCATCAAGGGGGTTGCGCACTGAAGACAGAGATGAGGAGGAATTTCTTCTATCCAAGTGGAGTGAATCTGTGGAGATCTTTACTGCAGAGGAATGTTGAGGCTGGATCATTCAAAGGAGCTGTAGAGAGATATAAACATGCTAGATGCTAGCTGATCGTGTACATTTGTCCTGTCCAGTATCTACCCTGCCCGGCTCTGCACCACAACTGCTCCCCACCCCCGCTGTCACAGCTGAGCCAGATATACTGGAAGAGGGGGAGAAAACTGAGGAGTTCCTCTGGGACATGTACACAAGGCAATGGAAGGGGAAATCGAGAGTGCCATCAAGCAGCAGCATGGCCTGCTTATTGACCTCCTGTTAGATGACAACCAGGACCACTGTAGACATCGTTATAACCTATGGCCCATGGAGTTTCATTATGTCTTGGTTTTTCTCTATCTGTGGAGGGGGTGGGATCAATGACCTGGCCGGTATGTATCATCCCCATCCCTAATTGCCCCATGGGGATGTACTGGTGCTGAGCTATCTTCTTGAACTGCTGCAGCCCGTTCTCAAAAGCGGTGAATTTCAGAGGTGAGGAGAGAGTGCTTAGCCTGGATACCAAAGCCGCCTTTGACCAAGTGCGGCATCAAAATGCCTGGGTCAGCTGCTTCATCAATGACCTGCCCTCCATCAGAAGTGGAGTTGTTCACTGCTGACTGCACATTGTTCAGCACCATTCACCACTCCTCAGGTATTGAAGCGATCCATGTCCAAATGCAACAAAACCTGGATGATATTCAGGCTTTGGGGCTGACAAGGGGCAAGTTATATTTGCACCACACAAGTATCAGGCAATGACCACCTCCAACAAAAGAGAATCTAACCATCGTCCTCCTGTTCCCCCCACCTTGACGTTCAAAGGTGTTACCATCACTGAATTCCCCCATTATCAACATCCTGAGGGTTATTGACCAGAAACTGGAACCAGCCCCATATCAATACAGTGGCTACAACAGCAAGTCAGAGGCTGGGAATCCTGCAGCAAGTAACTCACCTCCTGACTTTTCCCCCAATGCCTGTCGATTATCAACAAGTCCCAGATCAGGAGTGTGATCGAATACTCCCCATTTGCCTGGATGGGTGCAGCTCCAGCCACTCTTGAGAAGTTCAACACCATCCAGGACGAAGCAGCAGCCCCCCCCCCCCCCCCCCACCATGCTCAATCAATACACTAACCTCCACCTTCAACACTCAATCCCTTCACCACCAACACACAACGGCAGGTGGGCTCATTAGGAATGCTCAGCTGAGCTCCAACACCGCACAGCAGCAGCAGTGAGTCACTGCAGTGACTCGCATCCTCCGACCGCATCTTCCAGACTTGTCCGTGGATGGGGTAGAGGTTATGAGGGCACCAGATGCATGGAGAGCACTTCCCCCTGCAGGTTCCTGTCAAAGACATGCCCCACAAAATGCACACACACACTCTCTGGCATACACACACATACATACACGCACGCACGTCAGGAACAATACCAGCCATTCCTTCAGTGTCACCAAGTTTAAAGCCCTGGAACTCTCTCCCGAACGGCACTGCAGGATTTCCCTTTACTGCATGGGACCGCAGTGGCTCAAGTAGGCAGCTCATCACCACCTCAAAGAGATGAGTAGGGCTGGGCAAGAAATTAGGCTTTTGCAGTGATGCCCACACCCAGTGAAAGACGAAAAAAGATAATTAATTGGAGTTGCAGACTTCAAAGTATGGTTATTATTAGCAGCATGAAAGTTGTGATGGGGAGTTTACTTGTCTATGCACACACCAACTCATCACGGTGATTAAATCTGACCGTGTTTGACTACATTGTACAAAAATGCACACTTTGCAACAGGTGTGAGCATTGACTCACAGATAATTCCCTCTGCGTGTTAAGCTCTCTCAATCAGCATTGGCAAGCTTCAAGGCCATGGGGAAGATTGTACTTGGCACTGGGAAGATGCCTGCTTTGATATAATTTCTTTCATATGGAGCCTGAGAGTCCGACATGTGTGTGCTTCTCCCCACTCCACCTGATTTATGCTGCTTTTTCTATTGCAGCAATTCAGCAACCGAAATCAGACCAGCATTGTTTTATGCATCATTTACATTGCAGAAAGGACATTTCATGGTATTGCTATCCGGGGCAAATTATTTATTTCCTGCATTCCCCCATCCTCCACCCGCAAAGCCTGTCCCACCACCGACAAGGAGCAAGGCAGCAGTATGATAGAATACTCCCCATTTGCATGGATGGCAGTTCCAACAACACTCGAGAAGCTCGACACCATCCAGGACAAAGTAGCCCCCCACCCCGCTCGATTGACATGCTCACCCCCACTTTCAATACTCACTCCGTCCACCACTGACACACTGTAGCAACAGTGTTTACCGTCTACAAGATGCACTGCAGTGATAAAAGTACAAGTACATGAATAGAAAGGTTTGGAGGGATAAAGGGCAGGAGCAGACAGGTGGGGACTAGTTTAGTTTGGGATTATGTTCGGCTTGGACTGGTTGGACCAAAGAGTCTGTTTCCATGCTGTATGACTCTATGACTCGCAGAGGCTCCTCCAACAGCACCTTCCAAACCTGCCACCTCTAAACTCCTTGGAAGGACAAGGAGCAGCAGATGCAGGGGGAGCACCGTCCCCTGCAAGTTCCCCTCTGAGTCTCCCAGACAATATCACAACTTGGAATAATATTGGCCATTCCTTCAATGTTGCCTGGTCCAATGTGATGGAGAAGGGCAGATTAAATGAAAGAAAATCCCTGATATTCACTTTATAAGCAACAAATTATTTATTTAACCCTAAAAGTGAACAAATTAACAAAACTACTAACAAACCGAACAATTCCCCCCAACACCTAACTATTCCCTAACTGAACAAATTTCTACTGGTATGCTGTTCCAATAAACACAAGTCCCACTGAAATAAACCCAAGTAATAAGAAAATATGTTAAACCTTAATCTCTCAAAGTCTACATGCCTTTCTGCTGCTATTCCCAAGTTACAAACGCCCTTCTTCCGCTAATCTGGCTGTCAGGAATGTTTTCTCTGAAAGTCTTCTGTGAGGACTCTTAGCTAGAAGTGCTGTGGTACCTTGTATGACTAGGTGGTGATTTCTTAACAAGCTTAGCGACTTCTTGTGAGAGTTGGATGCTTATTTCTCAGATGGCGGTTCACTGTCACACAGATGTTCAAAAACCCTCTCCTTATATACCTTGGATGACATATCAATTTTCTTACAATAGCATTGGTCCGAGGTTGTCAAAACCATCAGATTTAAATTCAAATGGCTTTCAATTGCTAGGTGCTTGGTTTAAATTAATTGGCTGATTCCAGCTCATTGTCAAAACATCAAACCAAACTTAAGGTTTCCAATCACACAGCCAATTGATACGTTTTAATCTCAGCACTGTCTCTATCTATTCAGCTGCTTACAGACACATTTTCATTTAAATCTCCAAGCTTAGAGAAGCACGTCACCTCTTAAAGTGACTACGCACTCTTCCCCTCCCTTATCTTTCTTTTTACAAACAAGTTCTAGCTTCCTGCCTTCCAATTCACGATTATTCTACACAACTTCGTAACACACAGAATCCCTCTCTACTTGCACTGTGAAGGGTGTCCTCACACCACGACTGCTGCAGCTCAAGTAGCCCTCTCACCACCAGCTTGCCTGGTGGGGGTGAGCGGGGGGGGTGCAATTAGAGATGTGAAAAATGTTGCAGCATGCTGTCTGGGAGTCTGGTGGAGGCCTGGTGACTGGAGGCATTCAAAGATGAACGAGTGCCTTCTGAAAAGGAAGAATGTGGAAATCTTTGGGGAGAAAGTGTGGGAGTGGGTAACAAGTGAATTTCCCCAATGGAGATGGGCAATGAGCTTAATGACCTCCCCTTGTGCTGTAACTATTCAGCGAGTGGCCCTAACAAATACAGCTGTTCACAGACACTGGGATCCCCAGGGATAGGTATCCCTAACAGACATCAGCAAACTCCAGCACTTCTGTTTCTTATTGAATTAGCCTCTGCTTTTACAAAGTGCTTGATGCCAGTCTCCAAGGGCTGGCCCCGTTGCCAAAACAAGGGGCGAGCTTGGACTGGTGGAGCCTGACCTTGCGATGTCCTCCTGTTGGGATAGGTTTCTGAATGAACGGAAGGTCATTGAGCAAGTCAGGGGCGGAGACGCGGACGATAGCGAGGAGGAAGAGCGGCAGCAGGGCAATCCCAAACAGGAGTGCACACACGTTTGAGCCGTGCCCACATTGAGAGAGAAAAAGAAAACACCCCAGACGAGTAGTTCCTCCTGCCAGCAAAGCATCTGGAGCCGATTGCAAAGACAAATTTTCGGACGGCTTGTCAACGTTGGACAGTGCCCAGAAAAGGATGCATGGCCGGCAGCGGTTCAGCTTCCATTCAGTTTGATGCCTGGTGAAAAGCAAATTAAAAGAAATTGTTTTTGCCTGCCGTGCGTCCTGGTATGTGTGTGCGTTACCTTTCAGTACCAGTCCCCCAACACTCTGGCCCAGATTTACTGGGTCTTGTGGCACAATGGTAGTGAACCTACCTCTAGGCCTAGGCTTACGAGCCTAGCCCCATGAGCCTAGACCCTAGGAGCCCCAGACCTGGAAGAACCCGCAATGACTACAAAACACACCATTTCAAATTAATTTTATTTAGTCAGGTGGGGTGTGGTGGACAGGGGAGGAGGAATTTTACTCTCTCTCTTGGCCTCTGGGTTTCTACAGCAGTTACGTCAAAGCTATGGAATCCATCACCAAGGGGATTAACCAGTGGCAACCATCTCACACAAAAGACAAAAGGTTTTCTCAAAAAGACGCAGACGAAACATTAGCAGCTGTGGAAGCAGAGACAGACAGACAGAGGTGGGGGACAGTTTTCACACGGAGAGTTGAAAAGTTGCCTGCTTCCCCCCACCCTGCTGTCTGAGGACATTGTGTGTAGGCCTTAAGACAGTGAGTGCCTTGAAGTCTTTACAGCTCTGGTTACAGTACATGTGTTCACCAAATACCTGCACACATCAGGATATACAGTAAGATGGTTGGGTCCTGTTTAGTGTGCAAACAGTACAATAGAGACCCCCAAATGTTATCCAGCTGACATAATTTTGACAAACGTACGTTCTAGCCAGCACCAAGTATTAAAAAGTACGGTGATTTTAGCACATTTGGGGAAACCAACCCAAACCAACGAAGGTACCCAGTTAGGAATCTCTAATTTAATGCCACACACCACTGTCATAACATTCAAAGCTGTTGTGAGCCTAGTGAGGGAAAGTGGGACTAGCTTGGGTGGTAGTGTCTTTTTTGGTAGTCAGGCTTGAAGGGCCTCTGTTGTCCTATGTGATTCAGCCAGGATCCGCATAAAAGGTGAATAAAAGACAGAGGGAAGAGCAACGAGGTGACTTTGACACTTGCTTTCATTCAGTTACATCGCAAGTAATTAGATTCTTCTAAAACAAAAATTCGGCAAGGTAAACTTGCACAAGAATATCCCAGCGCCATTTTTACAAGTTAATTGTTATTGTCGGGGAGGCAATGGCTTCATGATACTGTTGCTGCAAAGATAGATGTTGCTGGAAAAGCTAGGCAGGTCTGAGGAAGGGTCACCGGACCCAAAACGTTAACCCTTGATTTTTTTTTCTTCACAGACGCTGCCAGACCTGCTGAGCTTTTCCAGCAACTTCTGCTTTTGCTCCTGATTTACAGCATCCACAGTTCTTTTGGTTTTTATTTGGTATTATCGCTGGACTGTTAATCCAGAGACCAAAATAACGTTCTAGGTTCGAATCCCGCCACGGCAGACGGTGGAATTTGAATTCAATAAATATCTGGAATTAAGGATCTGATGATGACCGTGAATCCATTGCCGATTGTCAGAAAAACCCATCTGGTTCACTAATGTTTTTTAGGGAAGGAACTGCCATCCTTACCTGGTCTGGCCTACACGTGACTCCAGACCCACAGCAACGTGGTTGACTCTCAACTGCCCTCTGGGCAATTAGGGATGGGCAATAAATGCCGCCTAGCCAGCGATGCCCTCATCCCGTGAATGAATAAAGAAAACGAAATAATAAAAAATTCAGGGTTTTGGCCATGTGGGACAGAAGTGGGGAGAGTTTGGGAGCCTTGGGAATTCTTTGCCACACAAAGTGGTCAGGGCCGAAACATTCAGCGTTTTTGAGAGAGTCAGATATAGCTCTGGGAGGTGGGGGGGGAGGCTACGGGGATCAAAGGGTACAGGATGGGGGAGGGGGAAGTGGGTGAGCAGGTTTGAGGGGCCAAATGGCCTACACCTTCCTACATTCTGTCCTCAAGAAGGAGTTCAACCTGGTCTTGGGACTAAAGGCGGGGAACAGGGACTGTGTTGAATGATCAGCCATGATTGTATTGCGCAGCAGAGGGGCCGAATGGCCCACTCTGAATGCTATTTTCCATGCTTGGAAGGGGCCTCCGCAGAGCTGACCCGTGCCGTTTCGGATTGGCGATTAACGTGACTGACCCGGATTTCAAGCTTCCAGGAGGAAGATGGCAGCGGATGAGAGAAGGGTGAACGTACAGAGGCAGGTAGGAGTGATAGAGCCGTGATTGCCCCTCGGTAAGACTCGAATGCTTAGCTACTGGCCCACGGCTAAAATCATCGGATATTGTGTTCAATTCTGGTCGTCACACTACCAGAAGGATGTGGTGGCTTTGGAGAGGGTACAGAAAAGATTTACCAGGATGTTGCCTGGTATGGAGGGCACTAGCTGTGAGGAGATGTTGGAGAAACTTGGGTTGTTCTCACTGGAGGGGCGACCTGATGGGGGTCTACCAGACCATGAAGGGCATGGACAGAGTGGACAGTCAGAAGCTTTTTCCCAGGGTGGAAGAGTCAGTTACCAGGGGGCAGAGGTTTAAGGGGCAAGGTTTAAAGGTGATGTACGAGGCAAGTGTCCTTACACAGAGGGTGGTGGGTGCCTGGAACTCACTGCTGGGGGAGGTAGTGGAAGCAGATACTATAGCGACTTTTAAAGGGCGTCTTGACAAATACATGAATAGGTTGGGAATAGAAGGATAGGGTCCGCGGAAGGGTGGTGAGTTTTAGTTGTGACAGGCAGCAGGCTTGGAGGGCCGAAGGGCCTGTTCTTGTGCTGTAATTTTCTTTGTTCTTTGATAACCGCCCTCCAGAAAGCAGCACAGAATCGCCTCTGCCTCACCAGAAAAGGGGAAATTCTCCTCAGTTTCCACCCCCAACCCCACCCTGCCCCAGTCAGGAGGGGTGGGGAGCTCCTGTACCCACCTCCTCCACCTGACTAACCCATCTCCAAAAGGGAGTTGGGAGCATCCAAACTAAATAGGCAAGTGTGCCTCTCCCGCTGCAACACAGGACACTCACCAGGAATGCTCAGCTGAGGTCCAAAGCCGCCTCCCTCCTTAGCCGACGCAGTGAGGCTTTCCAAGTATTCCCCACTCCCCACTCCTAGAAGGCAGGCAAACATTGGGGGGGTGTTGGGGAGTAGAACAACCAAGTTCCCGTCCACACCTCCCCCCCTAGACAACGCCCCAACTTGGAACGCTACCTGCCGTTTCTCCTGTGCCACCAAGTCAGAATCCTGAAACTCCCCCATCCCAATGGCCTTGCAGGGGTTGCCTTGGATGAAGCTTTCGATATGATTTTATCTGGTGTTATTAGCCGTCGCTAGCAGACAGTTCATCCCAGTAGCACCCAGCACACTGCATTAAGAAAGCCTTGCCTCTACAGGGCTTTCTTCACTGCAACATACATAAAGGGATCTGGTTTGTACAGAACAGGAGGCAAGATGTGAGGCGGGGTTGGGGAAGGAGGACAAATTGATCTATCCCCGAGCCATTAACTCTCAGCTTGACTCAAAGTCTTCCCCCACCCCACCACACCCCCCCCAACCCCACCCCCCCCGACCCCCCACGCCTCCTCTGGGTGTTCCTTTCGGAGAAGCGCAGAGCTGACGGTGGAGGGAAAGGGAAATTACCAGGAGCTGGACGGAGTCCTGAGAAATCGAAACGCAGGCAGGGTGAGGCTCTCCAAAGGCAGCCGTGGCCGCCGCTCTCTGTGTCCATGACATGTTCAGAGTCAACCGCTGTGCGTTGATGGCACCACAGGACAGGCAGATTTCCTTTGCTAAAGGGGCATTAGTGGGCTGAACGGGGTATACCAGTTGACAATCCACCCTGGGAGAAAGGCACACACAGTTTAGGGGCTGGCAGCGGGGTTTGGGGGTAGAATTGGGCCGGCAAATTCCTCCTCCCAGTCTCAGTCGCCACTCAACTCCAAGCATGAATTTTGTGAGGGACGGGGAGGGTGTTGGAGAGACAAAGACGGGGCCGAGGGAGTTGGGTGAATGGGTGATGTGCTGCGTGCAGACAGGGCCGGACTAGTGCCCACCAACGCGGCTCCCTTCACTGCCCGTTGTCCAATCCCTGAAGATGAAACTTAAACTCATCACCATGAAGATCAGTCCGAGCGTAGCGAAACTGGCGGCCTGTGAAGAGAGGGGAGGGAGGACGGGAAAGAGTCGGTTTTACCAATGTTCCAGCCAGCATGGAGCGACACACTCTCAACAGGTTTGGTCACCGACGTGGATCGCAACGGGACTTTGGCACATCCCCCACAATCCAGACATCAACTGCCCATCGCATTGCACACAATCTCACCTCCCTGAACCGCGCTGTCGGTGGGTCAGCGCTGAGGGAGCGGGCGCTGTCGGTGGGCCAGCGCTGAGGGAGCGGGCGCTGTCGGTGGGCCAGCGCTGAGGGAGC